GGAAGGTTCCGGACAGCTTCTCTATGAATGTCACCCAAACACCCAGACAATATAACTGATATTAAAACATACACAGAAGTCTATTGATAGATAAATTGACAACATGCCCATGAACCCGGCCCCATGGTCCAAACTCGTGGAACTCTATATTGATAAGTTGACCAGACCACACACTAGAAATTGAAGGGACGACGACGTTTCGGTCCGTCCTGGACCATTCTCAATCGACTTGAGAATGGTCCAGGACGGACCGAAACGTCGTCGTCCCTTCAATTTCTAGTGTGTGGTCTGGTCAACATACTTCAGCCACGTTATTGTGACTCATCGCCTGTCTATATTGATAAATAAAGGAAAAGTACCAATAGTTCGAGCACTCAGTGTAATATGGAGCACTCAGTGTAATATGGAGCACTCAGTGTAATATGGAGCACTCAGTGTAATATGGAGCACTCAGTGTAATATGGAGCACTCAGTGTAATATGGAGCACTCAGTGTAATATGGAGCACTCAGTGTAATATGGAGCACTCAGTGTAATATGGAAAAAGAGCCTGGATAAAGGGGGGAGATAATAGCAAAACTTAAATCACCAGATATCAGATCATAACTTAATATTATGATCTTAAAATTATGAAACTTAAATTATCACATCAGCAGATAAATCATTGTTCCACTGTACAAGGGAGGTAGCAAAGCCTTGGCCAAAAAAATATAGACCAGTTGCATCACGTAATAAAAGTTTTTAAATGAGTGATTAGGATTCAAAACTCCAGTTTTATGGAAAACAATGAACTTCACAATCCCAGTCAACACGGATTTAGAGCGGGAAAATCCCGTCTCTCGCAACTACTCAAATACCATAACAGAATCACAGAAACGCTAGAAGAAAACAAATTTCAGATGTTGTTTACATAAATTTTTGCAAAGGTTTTTGATAAGTGTGACGATGGAGCCCGCAAAGTGAGACCACTTGCAATAAAATGAGGTAAAATGGGTAAAATGAGGCGTTGGATTTTATATTTTCTGTCAAACAGAACGCAATGAGTAACAGTCAATCAAATAAGATCAAGTCCAAGTGCAGTGAAAAGCTCTGTACCCCCAGGGCACAGTCCTTACACCACTGCTCTTTCTCATTCTAATCTCGGATATAGAAGAAAAATTATAGTCACGGCTTCGTGTCATCCTTTGCAGATGGTACAAAAAGCAGTATGAAAACATCCTCTAGAGTAGACACCGACAAACTACAAGCTGATATATATAAAAGTCTTGGACTGGGCAATGGAAAATAACATGATGTTTAACAGTGATAAGTTCCAGATACTGAGGTATCGTGGAAATGAGAAGCTTAAACTAAACACAAGGTACAGGACAGTCAGACGTAATCATACAAGGAAAATAACATGATGTTTAACAGTGATAAGTTCCAGATACTGAGGTATCGTGGAAATGAGAAGCTTAAACTAAACACAAGGTACAGGACAGTCAGACGTAATCATACAAGGAAAATAACATGATGTTTAACAGTGATAAGTTCCAGATACTGAGGTATCGTGGAAATGAGAAGCTTAAACTAAACACAAGTACAGGACAGTCAGACGTAATCATACAAGGAAAATAACATGATGTTTAACAGTGATATGTTCCAGATACTGAGGTATCGTGGAAATGAGAAGCTTAAACTAAACACAAGGTACAGGAGTCAGACGTAATCATACAAGGAAAATAACATGATGTTTAACAGTGATAAGTTCCAGATACTGAGGTATCGTGGAAATGAGAAGCTTAAACTAAACACAAGGTACAGGAGTCAGACGTAATCATACAAGGAAAATAACATTATGTTTAACAGTGATAAGTTCCAGATACTGAGGTATCGTGGAAATGAGAAGCTTAAACTAAACACAAGGTACAGGAGTCAGACGTAATCATACAAGGAAAATAACATTATGTTAAACAGTGATAAGTTCCAGATACTGAGGTATCGTGGAAATGAGAAGCTTAAACTAAACACAAGGTACAGGACAGTCAGACGTAATCATACAAGGAAAATAACATGATGTTTAACAGTGATAAGTTCCAGATACTGAGGTATCGTGGAAATGAGAAGCTTAAACTAAACACAAGGTACAGGACAGTCAGACGTAATCATACAAGGAAAATAACATGATGTTTAACAGTGATAAGTTCCAGATACTGAGGTATCGTGGAAATGAGAAGCTTAAACTAAACACAAGGTACAGGACAGTCAGACGTAATCATACAAGGAAAATAACATGTAGAAAATCTGGGAGTTGTGAGGTCTGACCACCTGACGTTTACGGAACATTTCCAAAGTAAACATAACTTTAGGTAGAAAAATGATAGGATGGATTATAAGAACGTTCAAATCCAGAGACGCTCAGCAATGCAAATACTATTTAAATCACTGGTGCTGTCCCGTCTTGAGTATTGCTCGGTACTCACTTCCCCTTTCAGAGCGGGAGAGATCTGTGAAGCAGGGGATACAGAACATATACGGCACGCAGATACACGATAAACAACCTTATTTACTGGGACCGTTCTTGTTGTTTTAGATTCATCTACTCAGAACAAAAAGTTCCAAGTAGCACGGGCTATGGTGAACCCGTAGTGGACTTACCTGGCACAGGAGCGAGGCAAGTAGCACGGGCTATGGTCAACCCGTAGTGGACCTACCTGGCACAGGAGCGGGGCAAGTAGCACGGGCTATGGTGAGCCCGTAGTGGACTTACCTGGCACAGGAGCGAGGCAAGTAGCACGGGCTATGGCGAACCCGTAGTGGACTTACCTGGCACAGGAGCGGGGCTTTAACTCGTACAGGGACCGTCTCAAAGCTCTCAAGATGTACTCACTGGAAAGAACACGAGAAAGGTATCAAATAACATATACATGGAAGATTCTTGAAGGCCAGGTCCTAAATTTGCACAGTAGAATAACAACGTACTGGAACGAAAGATACGGAAGGAAATGCAGAATAGAACCAGTGAGGAGTAGAGGTGCCATAGGCACAATCACAGAACACTGTCTGAACATCAGACGTCCAATACCCTCCCAGCAACCATTGGAAATATTGCCGGAACAAAGGTGAACCTCTTCAAGAACCAATTAGATAAGTTCTTGCAAGAAGTGCTGGACCAACCAGTCTATAGTGGATATGTTAACCTGCGGGCCGCTGCAAGCAACAGCCTGTTGGACCAAGCTCTCACAAGTCAAACTCTGGAAGTAGACGAACTCCTGAGACCCTCTCCAGGTACGATCCAGGTACGATGCCGTGCTGCTGCTGTTGATGGTACGAGCGACAATATTGCCTTCTATCACAACACATTTTTCACGCTGTTCTTTCTAGTTACCTTTACTAACACGGCCGCCCAGTGTTCAGGAGACATGCAGGCGACGAGTCACAATAACGTGGCTAAAGTAAGTTGACCAGACCACACACACTAGAAGGTGAAGGGACGACGACGTTTCGGTCCGTCCTGGACCATTCTCAAGTCGATTGTGATGAGGAAGTAGATACAGGCAATTAAAACAATTAACAATTCAGGAGATATTGTTAACACTGCAGCGTGACACAGGTGAATATGTACACCAGTTGCTTGACAGTTGAGAGGCGGGACCAAAGAGCCAAAGCTCAACCCCCTCGCAAGCACAAATAGGTGAGTACAGGTGTGTCATTATAATTTAACACTCTTAAAGTTTTGAGAGTGAGTAATATGTCCAGGAACTCCATCTCATTCCTTGTACTCACCTAGTTGTATTTGCTGGGGTTGAGCTCTGGCTCTTTGGTCCCGCCTATCAACTGTCCGAGGCGGGACCTCGGGCGGTTTCCCGCTCTCTCTAATCCTAAAAAATATATATTAAATTGTATCTGTTCCTAAACTTACACTCTTTCTGGGGGTCGCCTTAATTGAGTTTGTTGTTGATTTTGCATTTTTTTTCTCTAAAAGAAGTGGATGTTCTCATGATTCGTGAGAGTGTTACAAGGTTTACGACGTCACGTTACGCCGTGCCTGCAGGAGCTCTGTTGCAGGTTGCCTCCTGGAGGAGTCTAAATACAGCTTTATTGGGCGTTTTCTATATTGCTGTACTACCAATATATTATATCTTCAATTACCATCGACAGTAAAAAGAAACATAAGAAATATTGAGAAACTTCGTGTTAGAATTATTAATCTTACTTTTTCGGTCATATTTAACAATATATTATATCTGTGCATAATATTTGACTATACCATCACCACCAAAACCACCATCACCACTACCACCACAGTAAGCAAGCCACACATTACCACAAACCACTCTCACCACAGCCCGTGCTACCTCCTAACTCACCACAACGTACAAAATACACAGTGCTAACTTATAAACGCACAAACCCAAGCCACCCACTTAACCCAACCAACCAATGAACGGAAAACGTACATATGTGTGTGAGATCCAGTACTTATATATGTATATATGTATATATATATATATATATATATATATATATATATATATATATATATATATATATATATATATATATATATATATATATATATATATATATATATATATATATATATATATATATATATATATATATTGTCTTCAGATACTTGACTTTCCTTATCTCAGTCTCCCCCCTCTCTCTATCTCATTGTGTCCTCATTATTCCTATTTTCATGTTCCAAATATGTCTTATTTCCTCATTGTAGATTTCTGTAATTTATTAATTTTTAATCCCAATTCACGTTTTCATTGTAATCCTCAACTATAGAATATTCGCATTTCATATTTTCATATCTTCATTTCCCATTTTCTTATCCTCATTTCCCATTTTCTTATCCTCATTTCTCATTTTCTATCCTCATTTCCCATTTTCTTATCCTCATTTCCCATTTTCTTATCCTCATTTCTCATTTCTTATCCTCATTTCCCATTTTCTTATCCTCATTTCTCATTTTCTTATCCTCATTGCCCAGTTTCTTATCCTCATTTCTCATTTTCTTAGCCTCATTTCCCATTTCTTATCCTCATTTCTCATTTTCTTATCCTCATTTCCCCTTTTCTTATCCTCATTTCCCATTTTCTTATCCTCATTTCCCATTTTCTTATCCTCATTTCCCATTTTCTTATCCTCATTTCTCATTTTCTTATCCTCATTTCTCATTTTCTTATCCTCATTTCCCATTTTCTTATCCTCATTTCTCATTTTCTTATCCTCATTTCCCATTTTCTTATCCTCATTTCTCATTTTCTTATCCTCATTTCCCAGTTTCTTATCCTCATTTCTCATTTTCTTAGCCTCATTTCCCATTTTCTTATCCTCATTTCTCATTTTCTTATCCTCATTTCCCCTTTTCTTATCCTCATTTCCCATTTTCTTATCCTCATTTCCCATTTTCTTATCCTCATTTCCCATTTTCTTTTCCTCATTTCTCATTTTCTTATCCTCATTTCCCATTTTCTTATCCTCATTTCTCATTTTCTTATCCTCATTTCCCATTTTCTTATCCTCATTTTCATTTTCTTATCATTTCTCATTTTCTTATCCTCATTTCCCATTTTCTTATCCTCATTTCTCATTTTCTTATCCTCATTTCTCATTTTCTTATCCTCATTTCCCATTTTCTTATCCTCATTTTTCATTTTCTTATCATCATTTCTCATTTTCTTATCCTCATTTCTCATGTTCTTATCCTCATTTCTCATTTTCTTATCCTCATTTCTCATTTTCTTATCCTCATTTCTCATTTTCTTATCCTCATTTCCCATTTTCTTATCCTCATTTCCCCTTTTCTTATCCTCATTTCCCATTTTCTTATCCTCATTTCTCATTTTCTTATCCTCATTTCCCATTTTCTTATCCTCATTTCTCATTTTCTTATCCTCATTTCTCATTTTCTTATCCTCATTTCTCATTTTCTTATCCTCATTTCTCATTTTCTTGTCTCACTTTATAATCTACATTTTCTTGAGAAAATATTAAGACAATTGCGATGGAATAGATTCAGAGTCGCTGGTCTTTTTGGAGACAGGCACTATACCCCACTGGGCCCAGGGACACATGAGTTCGAATCCACCCCACGGCCTTAATATTTTATCCCTCCCTACCATTCTGATTAGGTCCCCCCTCTTCCTGTCCAGCGTCCCGTTTTCTGTGCAGTTCCCATTCTCTCTCAAGCTGCGACTTTCATTTCCTTTTGTAAGCTTCAATTCTTACGTTTCGTCCTTGGCGATTTTCTTATTTTTTGTCTTATGTCTCATTTATCAAGTTCTGTTCCCTGGACTTGAAGAGGGGTGAAGGGAAGGGGAGATGGGGAGGGTGAAGGAAAAGGGGGGAGGAAGGGAGGTGTGAATGGGATGGGGGACTGGAGAGGGTTAAAGGAAGGAGGGGGGGGGGAAATGGGACAGATGAAAAGGATGGTAGTGAAGAGAGAGAGAAGTGATGACTGGCAAGAAAGTGGGCAGGTGAGAAGGAATATTGATGGGAGGGTAAGAGTGAGAGTGAGAGTGAGAGCAGAGGGGGAGTGAGAGCAGAGGGGGAGTGAGAGCAGAGGGAGAGTGAGAGTGAGAGCAGAGGGGGAGTGAGAGCAGAGGGAAGTCGGGTGAGAGTGAGAACAAAGGGGAGTGATAGTGAAAGTGAGAAGGGAGGGGAGTGAGAGTGAGAAGAGATGGAAGTGAGAGAAGAGGGAGAGTGAGAATAGAAGGGACATACAGATATTGAGAATGCAAGACCAGGCGACCTTGATGAAGGTATACACACCTACACATATAATTTTTTTTTATTAATACATGAGGTACATCTGCATTAGTGCAGCTGCCCTAGACTATATGAAGGGAAGTACAGTGTGTCAAAAAAGGTAACTAGGTGATGCTAAAAAATCCCCATCACACATATAAACATGTATACCCAACCACGAAAACTCTTGGGGCATCACAACCAATATTTCACAATTGACTCCATACAAACCGGAAAAGAGAGTGGGTGGGGGGGGGGGGGGTTGTCAATAATTAATAATATTTCTTAAATCATTTAATTTAGTTCCTACCCCAACCAGCCTATGTCAGTCCCCTACCCCACACCATTCCCCCTACATATTTGGGTGAAGCTAGCCTCACCCATCTAGCCTCCAACTATGGCCAGACAGACATTATCTTATAGTACAGATTACTGTAGTTTCTGTGTTTGACTCATCATGCAGTTTCCTGATTAAATTTGCAGAAGGACAAAGTTTAGCCCAATATCTCAGATGACCGTGGCATGCAGGGTAAATTATTTTGCATAATTATATATGTAAATCTAATTAGCTGTGAATGGGGTGATTATACCCATATTTGATATGCTAATGAGACTTGGTTAGTGGAACGAGGTAAGAGGTAATGCTGGTTAAATGGCTATATGTCTGAGTGTGTATTCACCTAGTTGTATTCACCTAGTTGTGCTTGCGGGGGGTTGAGCTCTGCTCTTTCGGCCCGCCTCTCAACTGTCAATCAATTGTTACTAACTACTATTTTTTTTCTCCACACCTCACCACACACACACACACACACACACACACACACACACACACACACACACACACACACACAAATAGTAGTTAGATAGTGAAAATAGTGGAAAAAAATAGTAGTTAGTAAACAGTTGATTGACAGTTGAGAGGCGGGCCGAAAGAGCAAAGCTCAACCCCCGCAAACACAACTTGGTGAAAACACATACATACACACACACACACACACATACATACACACATACACAAACACACACACACACACACACACACACACACACACACACACACACACACACACACACACACACACACACACACACACACACACACACACACACACACACATACACAGCTACGCTCGTCCAACAAACTAACGACTAATGATCCTTCAAACCTTGTAATTAAACCTCTCGTTCCTGAAGTCCTGAGACCTCCCTCGTTGCCTTGAAACTTCGTAGCTCCCTAAACTCATTCTTCCCAATGGAGGCTGCCCACACCTGGAGGCTGCCTGCCTGCCTGCCTGCCTGCCTGGCCCTCCCTCAAACTCCAAGCGCCTACAGGAAGAGCGCAATTTGCCTGTTAATTGCTGCATCTGTCGACTAATTAAAGCAGTCAGCAGCGAGTGGGAATGAGTATGGGTAAGGCAAGGATGGGGGGGGGGGGTGTTTCAGGCAGGAGGTGAGTATGAGTCAAGCAATGGATTGATATGTATCAAGCAGGAGATGAATGTGAGTCAGGGTGGAAATGGATGCTTTACCTGGATCTTACCTGGAGAGGGTCTTGAGAGTTCTTCTACTCCCCGAGCCCGGTCTGAGGCTAGGCTCGATGTGAGATAACGTGGTCCAACAGACTGTTGCTTGGAGCGGCCCGCAGGACCGCATATTCACTATAGCTTGGTTGGTCCGGCACTTCTTGCAAGAACTTATCTAATTGGTTGTTGAAGAGGTCCACCTTAAGTTCCGGCAATATTTCTAATGCTTGCTGGGAAGATGTTGAACAGCTGTGGACCTCTGATGTTCAGACAGTGTTCTCTGATTGTGCCTATGGCACCTCTATTCCTCAACGGTTTTATTCTGCATTTCCTTCCGTATCTTTCGTTCCAGTATGATGTTATTCTACTGTGCAAATTTAGGACCTAGCCTTCCAGTACCTTCCATGTATATATATATATATATATATATATATATATATATATATATATATATATATATATATATATATATATATATATATATATATATATATATATATATATATATATATATATATATATATATATATATAATTTGATACCTTTCTCGTCTCCTTTCCAGACATAAAGTCGTGAGAACTTTTGAGACGGTCCCAGTATTTAAGATGTTTTATCGTGTCTATGTATACCGTATATGTTCTATGTATTCCTTTTATTCGAGCAATCTCTCCCGCTCTGAAGAGGGAAGGGACTCAGGCCGGGGGCTAGTGAACGAAAGAGCAATGTGAAGGACCTGGAAGTAATCATGTCGGAAGATCTTTCCCTTCAAGTACACAATAAAACAGCTGTCGCAACTGCAAGAAAAATGACACTAGTGCTCTCTAAGGTGGAATGTTGTTGCACACTAACAGACCTATTCAGTGCCGGAGAAACTGTTGACCTGTAGAGCGTGCAAAGATCCTTTACTGCTAGAATCCACTCTGTGAAACTTCTAAACTATTGGGACCAATTAAACTATCTATATCTGTATTCTCTTGAGCGCAGGCGGGAGAGATACATAATAACTAACACTTGGAAATTTTTTAAGGGGCTGGTCCCAAACCTGCACACATAAATAACATCACATGAGACCAGGAGGCATGGCAGGATGTGCAGAATACCCTCGTTGAAGAGCAGAGGCGCAACAGGTACTCTGAGAGAGAACTCTATCAACATCAGAGGCCCGAGACTGTTCAACACGCTTCCACTACGCATAAGGGGCATAACTGGCCGACCCCTCACAGTGTTCAAGAAAGAACTATCAACATCAGAGGCCCGAGACTGTTCAACACGCTTCCACTACACATAAGGGACATAACTGGCCGACCCCTCACAGTGTTCAAGAAAGAACTATCAACATCAGAGGCCCGAGACTGTTCAACACGCTTCCACTACGCATAAGGGGCATAACTGGCCGACCCCTCACAGTGTTCAAGAAAGAACTATCAACATCAGAGGCCCGAGACTGTTCAACACGCTTCCACTACACATAAGGGACATAACTGGCCGACCCCCTCACAGTGTTCATGAGAGAGAACTTGATAAACACCTCCAAAGGATACCTGATCAACCAGGCTGTGACTCATACGTCAGGCTGCGAGCAGCCGCGTCCAACAGCCTCGTTGACCAGACCACTAACCAAGAAATCTGGTCAGAGACCGAGCCGCGGGGACGTCGATCCTCGGAATCACCGCAAAGCAACCACAAGGTAACCAGACAGAGGCAACGATGGCACCCAGGCCGGGGACAGATGTGAATCAGCTAATGACTGAATGAAACGAGCAAATTGACTCGTTATATTATCAGATATCCCTGATATCTTTGACATTGTTACCTCCTTAATAACAAATACAATTTATATTAAAATGAAAGTTCAGTTTCCTCCTCGAACTTGAATTTTTGTTGGTAGATGATTGTCTCTTCCGTTGTTTTGGTAGATGATTGTCTCTACCGTTGTTTTGGTAGATGATTGTCTCTTCCGTTGTTTTGGTAGATGATTGTCTCTACCGTTGTTTTGGTAGATGATTGTCTCTGCCGTTGTTTTGGTAGATGATTGTCTCTTCTGTTGTTTGGTAGATAATTTTCTCTTCCGTTGTTTAGGTAGATGATTGTCTCTTCCGTTGTTTTGGTAGATGATTGTCTCTTCCGTTGTTTTGGTAGATGATTGTCTCTTCTGTTGTTTTGGTAGATGATTGTCTCTTCCATTGTTTAGGTAGATGATTGTCTCTTCCGTTGTTTAGGTAGATGATTGTCTCTGCCGTTGTTTTGGTAGATGATTGTCTCTACCGTTGTTTTGGTAGATGATTGTCTCTACCGTTGTTTTGGTAGATGATTGTCTCTGCCGTTGTTTTGGTAGATGATTGTCTCTACCGTTGTTTTGGTAGATGATTGTCTCTACCGTTGTTTTGGTAGATGATTGTCTCTTCCGTTGTTTTGGTAGATGATTGTCTCTACCGTTGTTTTGGTAGATGATTGTCTCTACCGTTGTTTTGGTAGATGATTGTCTCTGCCGTTGTTTTGGTAGATGATTGTCTCTTCCGTTGTTTTGGTAGATGATTGTCTCTTCCGTTGTTTTGGTAGATGATTGTCTCTTCTGTTGTTTTGGTAGATGACTGTCTCTTCTGTTGTTTTGGTAGATGATTGTCTCTACCGTTGCTTTGGTAGATGATTGTCTCCTCTGTTGTTTTGGTAGATGATTG